ACTAGTAGCTCAGTGTTCCAACATCCGCAAACGGCAACTGCTATCACAACTTGAGATTGACGAGATACAACACAAATGCTACGGCAAAAGGGAGGAACCCGGATGTCAGGACTGTGGGACTTAACTACAAGTCCCCACCCAGTGAGGGGATACACGGCCCCAATGAGCGAAACAGAGCTGAACGAGACAGCTGCTGACCTGAGAGAGAGAATCATGACCCGAATGACAACCAGGCCTCCTCGGCGCCAATTACAACGGCTGAGTGAAGTACCATCAGAAAGTCTCATTGAGAATGTGAATGCAGCATTGAGAACGATCCCTACCAACACCATAACAGAAACCAATGAGCTGATCTACAACTCAGCATCAGTGATCCTTGAGATACTTGGCTATAAGAGCAACCATGAGACCCAATACCCACCATGGAAAAGACGGTTAGAGGCTAAAATCAAGGTAACAAGGAGGGAAGTGAGCCAACTGTCAGAGCTCCACAAGGGTGCAATGAAAAGACCAGTACCCAGAAAGTACAGGCAGATGCCCATACCTGAAGCACTCGAGACTGCCAAACAGAGGCTCCAAGCCTTGGCCAGCCGCCTAAAGAGATACACAAGGGAGAATGAATCCAGAAGGATTAACCGGCTCTTCTCCACTCAACCAGCTAAGGTGTACTCTCAATGGCAGGGTAACAATAACAACAGAGCAGACCCACCAAGGCTGGAGACGGAACAATACTGGAAAGGCATATGGGAAAGGGAGGCGTCCCACAACAGCAATGCACAGTGGCTGATCTCTCTACGAGAGGACCACAGCAACCTCCCTGAGCAAGCCCCGGTAACCATCACTGTGACAGATGTCCAAGAAAGAGTCTCAGGTATGAAAAACTGGACAGCACCAGGGCCTGACATGATCCATGCCTACTGGCTAAAGAAACTCACTGCTCTCCATGAGCGAATGGCAGCCCAAATGAACCAGCTGCTACAAAGTGGGACTCACCCTGAATGGTTAACTGAAGGCGGACAATCCTAATCCAGAAGGATCCATCAAAGGGTCCAGTCCCCCAACTACCGACCAATAACCTGCCTCTCCACAACCTGGAAGCTCATGTCAGGCATCATAGCGGCCAAGATAAGCAAACACATGGATAAACACATGAGCACGGCACAGAAGGGTATCGGTGTAAATACCAGAGGAGCCAAACACCAACTCCTCGTAGACCGCACAGTTGCCCGAGACTGCAAAACCCGACACACCAACCTGTGCATGGCTTGGATTGATTACAAGAAAGCCTATGACTCAATGCCGCATACTTGGATCATTGAATGCTTAGAGATGTATAACATCAACAGGACTCTGAGAGCCTTCATTGCAAACTCGATGAGGCTGTGGAAAACCACCCTTGAAGCCAACTGCAAACCACTTGCACAAGTGTCCATCAAATGTGGCATATACCAAGGAGATGCTCTGTCCCCGCTACTGTTCTGCATAGGCCTGAACCCCCTCAGCCAAGTTATCAACAAGACTGGCTACGGATACAGACTCAAAAATGGGGCCAATATCAGTCACCTACTCTACATGGATGACATCAAGCTGTACGCCAAGTGTGAGCGAGACATCGACTCACTGATCCACACCACCAGGATCTACAGCACTGACATTGGGATGTCATTCGGACTAGAGAAATGTGGTCGGCTGGTCACAAAGAGGGGGAAGGTCATCCACACAGAAGGGGTCTCACTCCCAGAAGGAACAATAGCAGACATAGAGGACAGTTACAAGTACCTAGGTATACCACAAGCAAATGGCAACCTCGATGAGGTCACAAGGAAAGGAGCCACAGCTAAATACCTCCAACGAATAAGGCAAGTCCTGAGAAGCCAGCTCAATGGCAAGAACAAAATCTGTGCGATAAACAGCTATGCCTTGCCAGTAATCAGATACCCTGCTGGAATAATTAGCTGGCCAAAGGAGGAGATAAAAGCCACAGATATTAAGACCAGAAAGCTACTAACAATGCATGGAGGGTTCCATCCCAAATCCAGCACCCTGAGACTGTACACGAGCCGCAAGGAAGGAGGCAGAGGACTAGTGAGTGTGAGAACCACTGTCCAGGACGAAACAACTAAGATCCATAAATACATCAGGGACAAAGCCTCAACAGACAATGTGCTCAGTGAATGTCTCAGACAACAGGGAACGGAGGTTGAGGTGCCAGAGATACCATCATGGGAGGACAAACCCCTACATGGGATGTACCACCAGCAAATAACCCAAGTGGCTGATATCAGTAAATCCTACCAATGGCTGGAAAAAGCTGGACTCAAGGACAGCACAGAGGCCCTCATCCTGGCAGCCCAGGAACAGGCCCTAAACACCAGAGCAATAGAGGCCCAGATCTACCACACCAGACAAGACCCAAGGTGTAGGTTGTGCAAGGAGGCCCCTGAGACAGTCCAGCACATCACAGCAGGGTGCAAGATACTGGCAGGGAAAGCGTACATGGAGCGACATAACCAAGTGGCAGGCATAGTGTACAGAAACATCTGTGCAGAATATGGACTGGAAACCCCAAGATCAAAGTGGGAAACACCCCCAAAGGTGGTGGAGAACGCCAGAGCTAAGATCCTGTGGGACTTCCAGATCCAGACAGACAAAATGGTAATGGCGAACCAACCAGACATTGTCGTAGTGGATAAACAACAGAGGAAAGCCGTTGTGGTAGATGTAGCAATACCAAGTGATTGCAACATCAGGAAAAAGGAGCACGAGAAACTAGAGAAATACCAGGGCCTCAGGGAGGAACTGGAGAGGGCCTGGAAGGTGAAGACCACAGTGGTGCCTGTGGTCATCGGTGCCCTCGGGGCAGTAACCCCCAAACTGGAGCAGTGGCTACAACAGATCCCAGGAACAACATCAGACATCTCAGTCCAGAAATGTGCAGTCCTTGGCACAGCCAAGATACTGCGCAGAACCCTCAAGCTCCCAGGCCTCTGGTAGAGGACCCGAGCTCAGAGGATAAGAACCACCCGCGGTGGGTGAGAAGGGAATTTTTTTTTTTATTTATATATATATATATATATATATATATATATATATATATATAAGAAAGATGAAAATCCTGATAAATAAATGATGGACATCCTGAAAGAGGGTGAGAGGTGAAGCATGAGCTGATAAATGCCAACAGTCGTCACAAATCATCTGTATTTTTTCGACTGAAAATACTCAGAATATAATTCCCCTGTTCAAACCAGAAATAAGAACGGTCAAAGCACAACTGGTTTCACATTAGACAGTTCAGATTCGCATTTGTTGTCTCAAAATCTGTTCTTCCCCACGCTCACATTTGATGTACATCAAAATAGAAGTGAATGTATTTGATCATTTAGATTTCTAGCTCTATTGCAACTTGAAAGAAACAACATTAATCCTCACCAGAGGTTTATGGAACATAGCTTGTAAGTATTCAACATAATGTTTTGTTTTCTGCTCAATTTAAGCTCAAAAATCTACACAGTGGCAGTATTATAATGCATTTCGTATAATAAGTAACTTGCATTTTCTTGATGGATTTCAGTTTAGACGCAATTCACAGAGATGTTTACGTGTTGCTTTTCAGGGATTACGTTTAGTAAAGGAAGCCTCAACTATCTTGTTAAAGACTCCTCAATCATAATCATGCACAGAAATATTTGAATATCGTAAAAATATAATTTAGTTAGACATTAGTTCATTTCAAAACGTAAAACTCACACATATTGAAATATTTATAGAAAGCGTTTTGCTCCGGTCATGGGGAGGACGACCGACTTGCTCGGCTTTCCACAGGAAGAGCATAACAGGAAAGTTGAGTGGAAGAAAAAAATGACGTAGGGAAAGATGCGCAGGCCAGCAGGAATAACCGCAGCCTTGTGAGAATTGCGAAGCAAAGTCCATTCAAGTGTTTGGAGACGCTCGCAAGACGTAAATGAGCTGGGATGAAAAACGGCACCGTTTTCAGTCACTTTTTCCTTCCGCTAAACATTCCAGAAAGGCTCTTGGATACAGAACCCTGGGAACAGCAATCTTCTTTAACAATAACAATCCCTACTGCTAAACAACAGTCTTGTTAGTAATCTTCCTCATGACTAGATAGCGTAATATTTTGGTAATAAATGTTGTATAAGGTAGGTAAGGTATAAGGTATCTAATGTAATATACATTTTAGATAAACTGAGTTGTGTTTATTTCAATTGGCTGTAAACCATCGTCATCAAAATGAACAGAAATGCCTGACATGTTACAAACCTACACATCATCATGCGTTCACTTCTTGAATTGCTGAAATAAATCCACTTTTTGACTATATATATGTTTCTCCAAAACTGTTCCATGAGCTTCACTGCATAGTTGCTGAAATGAGTGAAATGGTACTCTTTTTTTTTCTTTCAATTTTGCACCATCCCATTGTTTTTCTTCCACTAAACTTTCCATGAACGGATTACATGCACAGCCAGCTCTTTAGTCGTGACCTTTCTGACCCATATTGCTGCGTGCAATTATTCTAAAAATCTGTCTTAGAACTGAACAATTGAAGAAAATAAAAAATAAAACACTTCCAATAAATGTGTGCTCATTTCCTACGTAAAATGAGCACTAATCAAATGCAGTTTTATCAGATGATTTCATTTTATTTATTTATTTATTTTTGCGCTGCGGCTATAAACGAGTACATCCCAGCCAATGAGCATAGTTCAGTTACTATAATGCAACCATAAAGTATCTGCGGTCCTCTGTGGTGAATTCACCTCACAGCGCTGCTTGGCATTTCACGCTTCCCATGGAATCACGTTTATTTTCCCTCAATTCTCCCACTGGGAATTACAGTATGTCTTAGCTGGCAGTCTGAGGAGGCAATAACACAGCCTTAAACATTTTAAAAGTCTCACGAGGAAGCGCTGTATTATTTCTACGCCAGCCGAGGTGTCATTGCAACCTAACGCAGCTCCCATGCAATAGCAAGCAGCCCCTCTATGCCCCCCCGCCTCCTCTCTCTCTATCTCTCTCTCTTTTTCGCTCTCTCTATCTTTCTCTCTCTCCGCCCCTCGTGTGTCTACATTTCCATCCCATGGCCGTCTCTAGGTGATTTAGCGCCGCCAGTCTCAAGCAGGTATCCAACATGGCGATCACGGGGAGCGGATCTCTCGCTATTTCTTTCTCTGTTTTCATGATTTCAGCGGCGTTTCTTCACAAAGGTGAGTTGTTTTTCATCATTAGCACCTTCTTTGGCCGCCTTGTGACGGAGACTTGCTCGTTCACTGCAACCAATGAACCGAACCAAAAAAATAAGAAGAATGATATAAAACGGATGGTGGGGGGGCGAGGGGGGTAGAGCTGCTGGGGAGAGAAGTTGTTGGTGCGCACGAGCTTTTCCCCTTTGAATCTCAGCATCACTTACTAGTTTGTTTCATGCTAAAAATAAAAAATAAAAACTTGTGTTGCCGCTTGTGTCATATTTTTTTTTTATTTCTTAACTGCCGAAGGCTCCAGGAGTTGCCGTAGGAAAAAAAAAAGAAAGAAAGAAAAAGTAAGAAGCGGAGATAAAGTGCGAGTCGTGAACACACGGTGCGTTTACTCAAACGAGTGAGGCGATGGGTTTCCGGAGCGTTACCGGGGAGCACGCGGCTCCAGTTCCAGTCCTCTACCGCATCCTCAAAGACACACAACTCCTCGCGCTTCAGCTCTCTCTCTCTCTCTCTCTCTCTCTCTCTCTCTCTCTCTCTCTCTCTCTCTCTCGGGCTCTGCGCTTCAGGTGCGCTTTAGAGGGGAGAGAAGAAGAAGAAGAAGGGGGAAGAAAAAAAAAAACACGCATTGCAGCTTGGTGTATCCTCTGGCCGTGGCAGCAGCTGCAGCCCCGAATAAATGCGAGCGCGTTGTCCGCACTTTCTTCTCCCCAGTCAGCCGACGAGGCTTTATTAAACCGACATTTGCCATGTCGGTTTAATAAAGCAAATGCAACGAGCCTAGATGGATTTTTAAAGAAAAAAATATGAATAACATTGCATCAGAGTTGCGTTAGATTTAAATATATATATATATATATATATATATATATATATATATATATATATATATATATATATATATATATATATATTATTATTATTATTTTTGCAGACACTTGAACACGTAGGGATGGATGTGCCACCCCTTCAGGGTGTTAAGCAACAGTTGGGGTGACAGGGGTTACACTTAGTGGCTCGATTCTGGTCCATAATAACAGTGTTGTATAGAGCAGTGCTATCTGCAGCACACACAACAGGTCTGCAGAAACCGCGTGTGTGATGATGATAGCTCCCAAAATGACTTGTTAAAGAAATTTTTAGACACGTTTATTTATTTATTTTTTTCGCTTTGCAGTTCATTGGTTACAAGGCTTTCATTTCACAGCTGCTGGATGTATTATGCGCCATGCTGAATAGCAGCTGAATGACATTTACAGCAACGTCTCCTTGTCACATTAATTTAATTAACCTCTTAGCTGAGTAAAATAATGCATACTGAGTGAGGAATAACCTCCAAGCCCAAATACAGGGAGAGAGCTGTGACATATGGAGTATGTCACACAGCCGTTATTTTATTGGTACATTTCTATTTTTTATTTTTTTTAAGCTAACCTCGGGTTAAATGAACAGCAAATAGTAGTCAAGTCGATGCTTTTGGGAGGATTGCTTTTGCTTCTCGGGTAATTTCTCTGCCGGATTTGACCTAGAGACTTGACAGTTTTGGCAGTTCTTCTAAGCAAATTAGCTTAGTTCAGGTAAATTAGGTTCAGTCGTATTGGATGAAAAGAGCCTGCAAGGTTTTTCAACTAAAGACTTTGAGTAGGCCACGGTATCCAAAGTCAGACCTCAACAACGAATATCCTATGTTTTAGATGTTTCTCTGGTTCAGCACCCCTGAATCAAATAAGTGGTTCTTTAAATCTGCTGTAATTTAGCAGGAGCGCCTTGAAAACGTGCAGGGCCCCTGGGCTGGACGTTCCTGACCCCTGGACGCTGGGTGTTACACCTTCCAACATTCCCACAGCATTATACTGACACCATCGTGTTTTATCACGGGGATGGTTTGCGTAGGGGGCCGTGTTGGTTTGTGTTTTTCTCATCTGAACCTCATGGTTTTGTTGCTTGTGGTAGTTAATAATAGATAAGAATTGCTCTTTGAAAAATTCGGCCTTTTGGATGCACTTACGTTTTGTAATTGCTAATCATCTAAATACACACGTCTTTATGTTATGAATGGAGAGGAAGTCCCAAGACTCATGTGTTGGAATTTTGTGAATTAAGATGAAAATGAAAGAAAGGTAATAGCTCCCTAACAGGCATGGGCCTGTTTCCTCAAGGTATGTCAAGCTTTCAGAGGTTGATCATTTCTGAGTTCTTTATTCATGTTCAAAAGGTTTTTCTGCATTTAGTTGACTTCTCCGTGTTCATCATAGATGGAAGGTTGTTGGCATATTAGCTCGTTTCATTGTGTTTGATATTCTGGTTTGGACTTATGTTCTGTTCTCTGTGCATTTGGATTTGTTTCTCCTAGATTGGTGTTAGCTTTTCTCCCCTTGGTTTGTCAGTTCTTTGTGCTTGGCTTTGCTTCTTTTGTGTTAATTATTCTCCTTCGCTCAGTCTTCCACAGCTGTTCATAATCGCCCCTGATAAACTCACCTGCATTCATTGTCACTCTCTCACCTCAGTATATAAAGTCGCTAGTTTTCATTGTTCTTTCCTGGTTATTTCCTGTTTCTCTTTCTGTAAGTTTGCTGTTTTACTTATACCTCCCATCACCATGTTCACACAAACCTCATGTCTTTACTTTGGTCCTACCCTCCACTTCGAAAACATGACATCATTCTTTTAAAACTGCTAATACTTCACACCTCTCATTTCTTATGGCTTAAAGTCCAGCATTAAACACATTGAAGTGGCTTAGCAGTTCTTCCTTTCCCCAACTTCTTGCTGCACATTGTGCATCAGCTGGCTGAAATAAGGCCAGCTGATGTACATGTTGCCATTGCTTACAAGTAGGGCTCCAACTAATGATTATTTTTGGCAATCCGCTATTCTGCCGATCATTATAATCAGAGAAAAACATTAGCACATTGTGCCTGTTTTCTTTTATTTTACCACTTAAGCCTTTTTATGCAATATTAGAAGTATGCAAATAAACAAATAATTCAATTCTTATTTTAAAATAAGAAGCATTTTATTTCATGCAATAAGGGAGAGAGCTGTGTGGCATATGGCATATGCTGTGGCATTTTTTTCAGCAGACGCTTGATTAGTTGGATGCAACCGCAGCAAAAAAAAAAACAAAAAAAAACTTATAGCATCAACATGTGAAAAGCTCAGCCATTTCTGCTAGACCTCGACATTGATAGAGTGCAGGTCTGAGGCCAGGTGAAACTAAAACTATTCCAGTCAAGGATTTCTGGGTAGAACACGTTTACTGACAATGCATATTGTATCGTAAATGCAAAATGTACATGTTTTTTGTACAGTTTTGGCTTAACTACTGCTCTGAATGTGTTGTTTTCTTTTCAACAAATTGCCTATGTTTGACTGTGTACTCCAGTTGACAATTATCTATTACTAAAACGGTCCACGTTTGTCTTAATAGTCGATTCATTACGACTAATCCGATTAATTGCTTCAGCCCTAATTACAAGGAACGCACCTTTCACTGTTTGGGAATATTTCTGTGTGCAGAGAAACGCGGACACTGATTTTTGTGGCACCTCATCAAGAGTTTTGCCACAAAATGTGCAGTATTCCTTTTTTTAACTGCTGATGGGAAGCAATAAGCGAAATGTCTTTGAAGCACTCGGCTGCAGAGCGGCTACCAGAGCAAATAGCTTGACTAATTAACCAGCTGGTCTCAGTTTGTTGCACTTGTGTTATTCTGTAAAGAGGAGAATGTCAAAAGTGGCAGTATTGTGTACGAAATGCACAGTGAAAACTTCTGCCAAATCAAAATTTTAGCTTTGCCCTATGAATGAAGATCAAAAATAAATTTAACAGGTGGTTATTTTAGCTACAGTTGGGTTAATTTGTACTTTTTTTCTGTGTCAAATCAAAGCAGCTAGATCATGTTAGGCAGTTTCTTTCAAAAGGCGTAGGTAAAAAAAAACAACAAAAAAAAAACGGCGACGCTGCGTCATTTTTGCTTTCAAGGTTGCCGAATCGTGAGAACCCCACAATCAACCCACGCCTGGTCCCACTTATCAAACAAGAACACGGCTCCTTCTCCCGAACGCTGGCGGTCATAAAGCTAAAGAGCTGCCACGGCTGAGCGTCCCCGTTATGAAAAAAAATGGAAAAAAGAGAAGAGGAGAAAAAAGGGACTTTTTGCATTACAACAGAGGAATCTGTTTAGCAGTGTGTCTCTCCTCCGTGTCTCCCGGGGCCCCTGCCTGTTGTAGCGCATCAGATGGTTGAATTTCAGAGGGTTCAATGATCCCACTTATTGCCAGTTTAAAGCCATTCGTCAGGACTGAGTGATGGTGAAGTGGATCAATACGAGCTGTCATGAAGCCTCGAGGCGCCGCTGAAGGACAGGATCTCAGAGAAACAAAAGGAAACATACAGCTGTTACAGAGCTCTTGGATGCCAGTTGGCGTCTGACCCGGTGAGTGATTGACAATGTTCGGCTCAGGCTGCCTACGGTGGGGTTTGGCTTTGAAACAGACACTGCTGAAATCTGCTCACAGCGTGCCGCTCTGCCCTCAATTTGTGTTTTGTATATTTGTATTCTGGTGGGTGGTTGTTTTTTTTTTTTCTTCCTCTGTTATTATACAAGTTTCCCCTGTGTTTTATGATTGTCCTGTGGCCGTGGTGGATGTTGGCGCCTGCGGGATGCGCTTCCATGCCTTTCATCCATATTTTAGTTGAACATTGGAGATAAGGTCATTGAGTTGGTGAAAGCGGAGATGCGCTAAGCAACACAAAAATCCAAAAGTCTTAAAACATTAAATGCTTCTAAACCAGAAACAGGTCAGTATTTAGACTTTTAAATCTGCAGTTTGTAACTTTTATCAATGAATATGTTTTTTTTTTTTTTACATGCTTGTTAAAAGTACGTTCATGTTGTGATGGGATAAGACGTGTAACCTGTGATAGGTTGATTTTGATTGGGTGCATTTCTTCAGACAGTAATAGTAGCTTAGGGGGGTGGAGGTCTTTCCACAGATTATTTGTCTTGT